TCTCTCTCTCTCTCTCTATCTATCTATCTATCTATCTATCTATCTATCTATCTATCTATCTATCTATCTATCTATCTATCTATCTATCTATCTATCTATCTATCCATCCATCTATCTATCCATCCAACCCGCCATCCATCCATCCATCATCCATCCATCCATCCATCTATTTATTTATCTATCTATCTATCTATCTATCTATCTATCTATCTATCTATCTATCTATCTATCTATCTATCTATCTATCTATCTATCTATGTAGTGGGCTAGGTTAAAACCCCAAGCTGGCCAGTTTTGGCCCACGGGCCATATGTTTGACAGCTCTAATCTAAAGCATGCTACTTAAAATGTCAAGGTGGTGCATCAATAGTCCAAAGTCCTCCAAAAAGTCATTAAAATAAAGTTGTTCATAGATTTTTTTTTTAAATCCTGACACTAAACAAATGTGTAAATTAGCAACCGGAATGTAACTTAAATGTAATGAGAAATAACAAACATAAGTAAACGTAATAATAACAGAAAAAAAAAGCAAGTGACACCGTGGAGCCACATAGACACGACTAATGCTATATATCTGTTTTGAATAGAACAGAAAAAGTCTGAGGGTAAACAATTAGCAACACCGCTAACACCGAATAGATGACTCTTTTATCTTTTTATACCTGTAATGGTTGAGGGTTGGTTAATATTTAAATGTCAACAAGGGCTAAATCTGCGTGTCATCCAAGATCAAGGTGAAGTTCAAAGGGAGCTGTAATCACTATCGTTTAAGTCAGTGCCCTAGTGAGTGACCTGTTCCACATTATTTATGAACCACATAACCTTGGCTGCAGTTAGTAAACAACAGACCCAGTCGTTGAGTTTTATTTGGCCTGTGACTCGGGGGTAAATTTACACTCAAACATTTGTATAATTTGCAGGGTTTTTTGTTGTTGTTGTTCTTTGTTGTTGTTTATTCGTAACTATTTCTTGTTCAAAATATTTTTGCCTATTTTGAGCTACAGTGTTCCCTCTTCTATATCGCGGTTCTTCTTTCGCTCCCTCAGTACATCGCACATTTTTTTATTTTCCAATCTTGCTAGTTTTGCTATATCGCGGTATTTAACAGTAATTTTTTTTTCCATTATTTCTTTTTTTTCGTGATAAAAAAAAAGCATGAGCCAATCAGAGTGAGGAACAGAAAAGCATGCTCAATGCTGTCTTCGATCTCCTCTATGTAAACAAAGCTACCCGCGATGTCTTTTAGTTTATTTTTTTTGCTTTATTTTTACTGTTTCATTTTTTTTGTTAGAAAATGTTTTTTATCACGAAAATAATGAAAATATTGTACATTTAAAAAATACCGTAAAATACCACAATATAGCGAAACTCTCACGAGATTGAAATAAAACAAAAATCTGCAATGTGCTGAGAGAGTGAAAGGAGAACCGCAATAAAAGAGGGATTATTTTTCTACTGATTCCTTTTTTATTTTAAATAAAATGCCAAGATGTGGTTTACCTGTAGCTAACTATTAGTCGTATTTTGGTGAAGCATTTTGAAAGCTTTATTATAGCAAACTCATTAGGCGCTAAACGTTTAGCTTAGCCTTCTAATGAACTAAATACAATGTGCGAAATGAGAGAAAATCGAAATCAAATTGTCGTTTGTTATGATCATGCTGGTCTTTTACACCAGCCTAAATATTTACGCTGCATTTTCTAGACTTGAAGCCAATGTCAACAGTGTAGACCAGGCATGGGCAAACTAAGGCCCGGGGGGCCGGATGCGGCCCGTTAAGCTTTTTAATCCAACCCAACAAACTTTTCCAAATTATATAATTTATTTGTATTATCTTTATACTTCTGCCATTTCCTTGTAATAACCACGTTTTCCCAATAGATGGCGTAGAAAATGATAAAAGCCTTTATGCATAACTTTTACATGTCATTTATCTTAGTTCACACGAATGCTCCATCTATCTGCTCCTGACCTGGCCCCCTTGTTCAATTTTAGGGCAATTATGGCCCGCGAGTCAAAAAGTTAGCCGACGTCTGGTGTGGACTCTCCAAAGAAGTCTGGCTACACATCGTCTTCATGAAAACAAATAAAAAAAATGTTGCCCAAACACAGTTCCAAGGCACAGGTCACAAGTGTCAATCTTATTATATTTGCCCCGCGAGATCATAGCAAATGTGTATTAGGGCTGGCCTGCCAGTATATAGCCGCTATGTACTACTACTACTACTGTATTTGTAGTATTAGCATACCAAAAATGTTGACTGAAAAAATTAAATAAATCCTATTCTCAAAATATTATTATTTGTTATCGCTATGTTATAGAACCAGGATGACAAATCATGCAGTCCAGTGTTGCGTCACTGCCATTCTATTTTTTCAGCAATGTTTTCAATGTTAACATAATTCTGGAAATCCCAAGCGAGTGAGCTTGTTCCCTCACAAAAAAAAAAAGTCCCCTGGCAACGTGGAACGTGTTAACACCCTCATGTTACAAACGACAGCTCTGTATATACAGTATGTCTTGCTTCAAGCTATTTTTGGGGGCTCAAATTTGTTATTGTGTAGCTATGCGATCTCTTCTCGCTACTATTTTAGCTATTTTACTATAACCATTCACCCTGTCTGTTTTTACGAATCGGCTTGTTTGTGTCAGGCCCACGAGTCACAGCAGCCGGCCTTGAGGAATTAGCTTTTTTTTTTTTTTTTGCTTTTTTTAGTCAAATTCTCAATAAGTCAAAAAGAAATTTTTACCTTTCGCATGAGGATGAGCAGGAGGGAAAAGCGAAGCAGTCAAAAAGAGTTTTTTTTTTTTACCTTTCGTGCGAGGATGAGCAGGAGGGAAAAGCGAAGCAGCGATTGCATCTTTCATTGGGAGAAGGTCTGTGCGAGTTCCCGGGGAAGAAAGTGTGAGGAAAAAAAAAGGAGGCAGGATCATGGGAGAGTGAGAGAGGAATGGAGGAAAATTGGGACTGTCAGGGCGATGGGGACAAAGTGTCTCTGTGTCTCTTGTCTAAATACAACTTTCCCCACCCTACACATCCAGAGGAGAAATATTTGTCTTTAATTTTTTTTTTTTATGCCGTCCCAAGACTTCAAATCTATGTCTATTCCCAGTCAGTACACCTCACTTTTATTAACTAAACGACAGTTAAATTTATTCTCTACGTTTGAGCGGCTCCTACAAACCCCATCAGAGTATAAGTATATAATGGGAATTACTGTGCGCTTTCAGTCTACCCAGGACAAACCTGGAATTCATGTGCGGGGCAGCAGGCTCTAAATGCACTCACTGTATGTTGTTTGTTTAATCGGCTGCCAGGGCTGTAGCAGCTCTCTTAATGTGGACTGATGCGTTCGAGGTCGCATTCCATTATTATTTACCTTGAGTAAAGAGGTCCCTCTCACAGCCGACCCCCTCCTCCTACTCCACCTTCGGTACATGTATGCAAGGCCAACGCCCTTCACACAGACGGGAGAAACTCACTGCCTGTTTTTGTAGGTTCATACAGGGCCTGGAAATGCTTGGAAAGTTTGTTGTGACTTTTTTTTAAAGGTTTTTGAAAAAAATGCATTTGGAATAATCCAAAAAGTTCGAATCTGGAGTTGGAACTACTGGCCATAAAAAAAAATAAAAATTGAAAATTAAAAAAAAATAAATAAATATAAAAAAAATAAACAAAACTCATGTGGTTCCATAGTGTAGCAGTTGGCATGCCTGCCTTGGAAGTAGAGGGTTGTGGGTTCGATTCCCAAATGCTTTATTGTTAATCCTCCTCTTATAAGTCGCTTTCTACAAAAAAATTGTTAAATGGATAAATGTAAATGTATCAAAAATAAAATGAAAAGATTCCCAAAGTGGGGGTGTTTGCCCCCTTCAGGGTGTGTAGTGCCATTGCAGGGGGTGACTTAAAAAAAATTATATTCTTTTATTTTATTTTTTATTTACAGTTTTTAATTTGATGATATTTTTATTTTATTTGCTATTTTTGATTTTATTTATTATTTTTATTTAATTTTTTACTTAATTTTTATTTTTTGTAAATTTATTTTTTTTAAATGTAATATTGTTTTATTTTGGGGTTTTTTATTTTATGATTTTTTTATTATTTGAAATTGTATTAAAATGTATTTTATTTTATGATTTTTTCGCAACGAATTAATGAAACGTAACGCAGAATATTGTCCAAATGTTTAACAAGAAACTGATAAAAAACCATTGGTTGAAGGTGGTGTAAAATGAATATCTGATCATAATATTTCAAAGTAGGCTTTTTTTAAAATTCTCGCTGTCGTTTTTGCTGTCACCCATTCGATCTGCCCAACAGAGGAAGTTCAGGAACCATTATTTTACGTTACGTTATATTGCATTATTTACCATATTTTTAAAAAAAAAGTATTTCTTTCTTCAAATTCCATTCTTTTATTTCTTAAATTTTGACCTAGCCTCTAAATTTAGGTCGCTTTTTGCTGCAAAATTAGAAGCCAACTACCCGTGTTAAAGGTTAAACAGGCAATGAGACGACCACACCTTTGTCCAGACACAACATCAATAAAGCCAGCATCAGCGGGAACTTGAGGAATGCCCTGTGGAATGTCCTAATCCACATCTGTGGCCTGTGTGACCAAGGAGGAGCCAGAGGGCGGGGCTTGATAAAGAAGTGATTAGATGCAGGTATTTGTCTGTACTTTTCTGATACTGCTACTGATACTCAAGTATATGGATTATTGGGCTTCTGTTTTTGAGCTGGATTTCTCTATAACTAACTTAAAAGTGAGATCCACTTCAGTCCAACAAACTTTAACCAGATTGTGTTATTGATTTATAATCAAGTAAATACAATCATCTGATAGTAAATTTAATACTAACATAAACACAAACATGTACAAATTTTGTTTTCTTTCTTTCTTTTAATTCTATATTCTCTGCTACTGCATTTTCCTTCGCCTACAATTCATAATGTCATGTTACCTCCAGTCCCCACTCTCACTAAAGATTACAATGTCATCTGCAAACATCTTGATACTTTGAGCATTGTCTGACCACAGCTGTCAACCCGTCCATCACCGCTGCATATATGAATGGGCTTAAAACTAATTCCTATTGTAGGCCCAACCTCTGCTCTCAACTTTCGCTACCGTTCTCTTTCTTTGGGCCTACCCACATGTACGCACACAGCCATTCACAGACAGACATATGCTACTAGTATAACACAGTAGCCTACCAGAAAAGTCAATGATCGCTAGCAGCATGAACTTCGGTAGCTCGTAAAAATCCATAAATTAGCCGCATCGTTGTTTTCGCCGCAGGGTTCAAAGCGTGTGAAAAAAGTAGCGGCCAATAGTCCGGAACTTACTGTAGTTGTTTTCTTCCACCAAACTCTCTGTTAACCTGTCAACCTTCTTGCTCTTTAATTAATAATAACTTTTGGACATGATCAATGACTTGTTCTCTGGATTCAAAATCCCTCTGCATACCTTTGTCTCCCTAAGGAAACCCACCACCCCAAAGTTGTGGAATGCCTCGGGAAAGACCTACTTCATAATGGAATGTTATGACCCCACACAGCATGACACATACACGCTGGAGCCTTGCACTTAGTCAAAGAATACCAAACACCAGAGGATCTTCTTAGGCTCTGAGCTTAAAGGCTTCAACTGATATGTCCACTCTGAACCTGTCCCTCAGTGGATAGATGGATAGATGGATGGATGGATGGATGGATGGATAGACAGACAGACAGATAGATAAATAGATAGATAGATAGATAGATAGATAGACACAGTATATATTGCATATTGCATATATAAGCGAGGGATGGCTCGATCCAATTATCCGGATCGGTATCGATCCATTATTGCTCAAAGTTTCAGGATCAAACATTGACAAAAAAACAACTATAGCCTGTCCGATCCGATACCTAAGGCCCTAATGCTCAACTTAACTTTGCGTAACATGCCGGAAACGGAAAAAGAAGGTATTGGACAGTTATGGGTATCGGCAGAAAGTTTCAGTATCGGTATTGGTATCGGACATGGAAAAGTTGTATGAAGCCATCTCTAATAAAAAGCTGTGTTAGCGCTTACTTTAACAATTAGCGGAAAGGTCTAAAAATGTGGAATGTGTGGAAAATAGTAAAGTAAAAAGGGTAAAAAATTGAATAAAAAAATGTCCCAAAAATATACCGCCAAAAAAGTATAACTGAAAGTTTAAAGTAACATTTAAGAAAATTGCATTGGAAATACCTACAGTTGACCTGGAAAGTTGTTTCGAAGTAAAAAAAATAAATTAGGCCAACAACCTAATCTCTGGGACGGAAAGGTTTGTTTCAAAGGAATCTTAATGATTATTGAGTGAGGAGACAAGGGTCTCATCTGTCTGCCTTTGACTCCTCCTACTGAGGTTACCACCCTGGATGGCCACAGACTATTTTTCAAAGCAAAGGACATTTCAAGTGGGATTGTACCTGAGTAGACTTCTGGCACAGGATTTTTTTAAATTTTTTTTTGGTATATATACTGCAGAATCTTCAGCACCTGCTTTTGATGCGCATCAATGCACCATGCTAAAACTTAGCTTCGATGAAATTCTCTGCCATATTGGGGGCTTTGGGAAGTTTCAGAAAACTTTGTACGTATGGATCTGTCTACCTCAGATCTTTCTTGCATTCCACATGCTCGTCTCCATCTTCACTGCGGCAGTTCCTCCACATTCATGCCGCTCTATCAAGAACTCAACGGAATCCCAGGCTTCTTCCAACTTCAGCCTTGTCCCCGATGGACACCTTGTGTTGACTTGCTCTGCCTTGCTCAATTACAGCAGTGTGGTCAGGAGTCATTCTGGAAAGCCACGTGAGATCTGTGAAGGGGGCTGGGAGTACAGTACTGACACTTTTCAAAACACTGTTGTAACTGAGGTGAGTTACGCAAAGCATTTTCTATTTTCAGCTTTTGTCTGGGTTTATACGTCATTTTGCCAGGACGGTGAGACATTGGTGAGATGTGACGTCAAAGAGACAAATGGGTTTAGGTTAGTGAATGAAGTTGCCTCGCAGGTCAGGTTTGAGCCAGGTCTTATTTGCATTGGTGACAGACTTTCTGACAGATGGACCTAGGCAGGAATGTCTTAAGACAATATTATGACAGTAGAATCTGAGGTGATAGTAGGAGGCAGGTGACCCGAAACCCCTCCCCCCGAATTAAAATACTATTGAGAACCTGATAATATGCATTTTCTTATCTGTACAAACCACTTTATGACTTGCTGCCACCGGGTGACTGGGGGCTTGTTTATTGTCCAAGCATTACACCTCCCACATGAGCCATGTTGAGCTAAAGGCATTTTTATATAATGTATGTTTTGTACATTAGTACCTAAAAAAACACTACTTTTTTCACACTCTTTGAACCCTGCGGCTTAAACAACGATGCAGCTAATTTTTACGGGCTAACAAAGTTTATACCGCTAGCGATCAATGAGTTTTCTGGTAGGCTACTGTGTGTTATACTAGTAGCGTATACTGTATCTGTCTGTATGCGTACAAGACTGACCAGTAGCGAAAGTTGAGAACAGTTTGAGCCCTGTCATGTTGAAGTGTGAGTTGGTTATACATGAGCTGTTAAAACACTGTTTATGTTCCCAACTTCCCTGTTTCTGTTTACCTCTGCTGCTGATAAGCACAAAGTGAAGGGAGTTAGCCCCGGAGCTAAAGCTAGCTTCCGCCCTGGAGCAGATCATTAAGTCTCCCCTGTGCATTCCAACTACGGTCGGGGCGACTAAGCAGGAAAGAGTTAATGTGTAACCAGCCGTGTTACAGGCACTGTTTGGGAAAAAAAGCATTTATTTAATTAGTAGAGAAAAAAATCTTTCTGTGAAAATATCCCATGTTACAACGTGGACACCTGCGGCTTATAGAGAAGTGCGGCCTATATATGTACAATTATTTTTTTCCTTTTAAATTTAGTGGGTTCGGCTTATATTCAGGTGCACGGAAATTATGGTAATTCAATTTACACGTAATTTTACATCATTCTTTGCGAATAAATTAAATGAAGTAACAAAAATCTGAGGAGTCACTTTGGAACTGAGAGAGCCGGAATTCCCATCACTAACACAGGAAGGATGTACACTAAATAACGTGTCATAAAAAGCACAGAATTGTGTGCAATCAAAAGTAATGGAAGGCCGTTAACAAAATAAGAGTGTGGCGGGGGAGTAACATTGGGAGGCGCTCTTCGCAAGGTGATCTTTGTGAATATTCATTATTTGTAATTCTTTCATAAACAGAATTTAAATGTTTTGTTGTAGTTTTAAAATGTTGCCTAGCATGTACAAAAACCTCCGTCATCGTGCTATTTTTCGAGAGTTTCAAAGCAAAATTTGCGTCACGTTTGCTTTATATGTATTGTTGTGAAAATCATCGTACGAGTTTGGTCTAATGCAAGGGTGCAATTGATTATTATTCGTGCACTAGGTGGCAGCAACTCATACAGTGGTTTGTACGGACGAGCTTCTGAGGGCCACACAAAATGACTTTGTGGGCTGCATTTGGCCCCCGGGCCTTGCACTACTTTTGCAATGCATGCATTACAATGCATTATGAAACTTTGTTTTCCTTTTGTCGGTGCTGATGTAGTGGGACTTAGTTTGTGATCGTTCCAACATGAACAACATTGGCTCATCAATCTACATGTTCGGACTCCTCGTCGGGGCTATATTGTTTGGACCCTTAGCTGATAAGTAAGAGACCCTCTCAAAAATTTGAAATCAAATCATGAATCGTACATTTTTTGGACCACAGGAAATGTCCTTATTTTCCAGGTACGGTCGCAGGATCATCATCCTTATCAGTCTGGCTCTCCAGACTGTGTGCGGAGTTGGAGCCGCTTTCGCTCCTAACTTTTACATCTATACTGCCCTTCGCTTCCTGGTTGGACTGTCAGTGTCTGGAGTCATAATAAATGCTTTTGTTCTTGGTGGGTTCACACACACACACAGACACTACATCAGTACTCATCGCAATACTTTCATCTAAGCAAAAAAGAAAAAGGGCTAAGTTTGAACTTTATTGATCCCTCACCGGGGAAATTATCGTAATTTCCGATCCGAAGTTATAATTAAAAAGCAAGAAGGTCGACAGGTTAACAGAGATTTTGGTGGAAAGAGAGTGATATTGTTCATCACTCTGTGTCAGGTTAAGAAACTTAAGAAACTTCGCTGCATGATCTTTATTAAATGCTTTTTAAGCTCCCGCAAGCCACACGCATTGACTTGACGGGCCCTATTTGGCCCACGGGCCTTGAGTTTGACACATGTTGCAAAAAGTCTATAAAATTGTATGTTACAGAATGTGTGAATATGCGACCCCAAATTTGAATTTGATGTCTCCTACAGGCACAGAATGGACGGGAGCTAAGCAGAGGATGCTGGCTGGTATAATCACTGACTACAGCTTTGGATTTGGGTACGTTCTCCTAGCTGGCGTTGCTTATCTCATCAGAGACTGGCGAAAACTTCAGCTGGCAATATCTGCTCCTGGATTCTTCTTCCTTTTCTACATTTGGTTAGTGGATAATTGTCAAATTTAGCTACAAATTTAGCTTTTTTTATGGAAGCATTAATTAGCAAGTGTACTGTTTACCTATCAATGTGGCTTACCGTACCCCTCATTTTAGGGTGTTGCCAAAGTCTGCTCGCTGGTTGTTGGCCAGTGACAGGACTACAGAAGCGTGGGAGCTGATCCAGAGAGCCGCACGTGTCAATGGGAAGGACTTCTCCTTAGATGTGGAGATGTGTCAGGTATGTCCAGACCAGCGATTTGTTTATTGGTGACAAAGAACAGCTATCTATCATCTATCTATCTATCTATCTATCTATCTATCTATCTATCTATCTATCTATCTATCGATCTATCGATCTATTGATCAAACAAATATAAGTTATTGGTAAATGAGAGAAAACTACACCATTACTGTAAAAACAATATGCTTTAAACCCCACTCCTCCATCCTTTTGAAGGTAACTACATCTTATCATAACTTTAGATTTAGTTTTAAAAAATGGGATATATCACAGCTGTTTTGTTATATCGATAAACCTTTTTTACGTAAAATCCTTTTGGTCTGTGTACCAGTAGACTGCCGAAAGAGTCCTCTGCTCCCTAGGGGTGGATTCAATGTAGAGGACACATTTATTTGTGTGTCTTTGGATTTACAGTGATCAATATGGCTGACTCCACTTGGCCTTTTACTTTGTTTTTCTACTGCTTATATTTTTAAATTCCGAGACCAGAGGGAAGACAAAGCACAATGGTAAAGGGACATAATTCAGAGAAACTGGTCGAGATCACCACAACGTGCTACTGCATACGTATGCATTATTTGCGTGGTAGAGCTCGTCACAATATGCTACTGCATACGTATGCATTATTTGCACTTATAAATGACTGTGTTCCTTTCTGTATCACTAGCTCTCAAAGAAGGAAGAGAAAACTCTGCGTCAGAAACAGTATACATGTTTTGATCTATTTCGAACCCCCAAAATGAGGAGGCAGTCTCTAATTCTTTTTTATCTGTGGTAAGTATCAGCTTAATTCTTTATTTTCCTATTTTTAATTTTTTTCCATTTGATTCCCATATCATATCATATTATATTATTTAAACTTTATAACCTGTTTATATAATTGGTTTAGTGGCATTCAACGTGAAACATTACCAAAGTCAATGTTAAACATCCGTGACATGTGTCACGGATGGTACAGGGGCGATCTCTAGTGGTAGGCAGAGGAATCTGATTTCAATAAGCTAAAAGGTTTTATTTTGGCTCCTGGTTTTCGGAGGGGTACTAATTGTAAAAAAAAAAGTATATATGTAAAACGTCTATATATATTCAGCTCAATTTCCTCTGCATACCACTAGAAAGCGCTCCTGTATCATCCATGACACATACTTTTGTTTAACATTGACTTTTGTAATATATGTGTATGTATATACTGTATATATGTATGTATGTATATATATATTTATATACACTACCAGTCAAAAGATTTAGAACACCCTAATTTTTCCAGTTGTTTATTGTGATTCAAGTCGTGTTAGCCCAATAAATAGCTTGAAATTGTACAAAGGTAAGTACTGAACAGCCAGAGGTTAAAAAAAAGGATTGGTTGCCCAAAACCGAAAACTCATGTACATTTCAGAATTATACAAAAAGGCCATTTTCAGGGAGCACGAAGTGGGTTAATAATTTATAGCTGTTCTGCAGCAATGAAGGTTTCCAAAGTCTCCAACTTTTGATTACTTACAACCCCCTCTGTCTGCATAAAAGCAGTGTTGGAACACACTGTGGTACCAGACCCTCATGAGCATCAGGTGAACAGAATTGTACTGCAGAAAGTAGTGTGTTGCTACAAAAATGGCGAGAAAAAGGCTATTAACAATGAAAGAGAAACAGACCGTCATAACACTTAAAAATGTAGGTCTTTCCTACAGGGAAATTACAAAGAACGTCAAGGTGTCAGTGAGTACAGTTTTTTTCACCATCACAAGGCACTCTGGGGGAAACTGTGACAGGAAGTGGTCTGGCCACAATTGAATTTCTGAGAGTTAGCCTTAAGTTAGCTTCAAGCACCGCTTAATAGTGGTCGTATGCAAGTCTCAGTTTCAACTGTGAAGAGAAGACTTCGGGCTGCAGGTTTGACAGGACAAGTTGCAGCTAAAAAAGCCATTGCTAAGATGTCAGAATAAGACAAAGAGGCTCTCCTGGGCTACCAAACACGGCAATTGGACTACTGAAGACTGGAAGAAGGTATTATGGACTGATGAATCGAAATTTCAAATCTTCGGTTCATCACGCAGGATCTTTGTACGCCGTCAAGTAGGCAAGAGGATGGTTCCACAGTGTTTGACATCAACTGTTGAACATGGAGGAGGAAGTGTAATGGCCCTGGGCTGTTTTGCTGGATGTGGCGGTTTGGACCCAGAGGCAATGTTGCTGTAATTGGTGTGGAACCCCAGGGTTCACCTCCGGGGCAAGATCAAATCCCGTTTAGGGCTGTTGGTACCTTCCAGTGGACTCACCACCCGCAGGAAGGTTTAGCGGGGTTGGTACGCGGCAGTGTGATTTGGGTGGCGGTCATGGAGACTGCCGACCCTGCGACCCAATAACGGAAAAGCGGATGAAAATGGATGCAGGGTCGGTGACTTATACAGAGTGAGCGGCACCCTGAACCAAAACGACTACCACAGCATTCTGCAGCGCCATGCAATACCCTCTGGTATGCGCCTAGTTGGTCAGAGGTTCATCCTACAGCAAGATAATGACCCAAAACACAAGTCCAAGCTATGTATATATATATACATATATAAATATACAGTATATAGGAGGTGGGACTAATCCAGTTAATCCTTCATTTTCACTAATCCAAAAGATGCTTTACATTAAGTAAGATATTTTATATAAAAATGTTTATTGAGTGTTGTCACTAGACCGACAGACAGACCATAGATCTACTATGGTCTGTCACTCAACATCTCGGACTTTGGGATGAACATCTACCTGACCCAGATGATCTTTGGCCTGATTGAGGTTCTGGCACGCACCATTATTTTGTTCACTCTTAATTACTCCCGCAAAATCTCACAGATAGCCTTTTTGGCTGCAGAGGGCACCGCTTGTCTGCTAAGCATCTTCACCCCCACAGGTAGGAGACTCTTTAGGAATTTGCCCTTATAATATTAATCCAACATTTTATTAATTCTCTAGTAGAAACTTTAATCGCAAAACATAACAAGCAATTAATGAAACAATATTATTATATTTACTTTTTATAATTTATGAGACTAAATGATTGCCCTTTTTTCCAGTTGCATGAGGATAAAAAAAAAAGCGCAACTTACAGGAATAGCAGATACTGGTACAAAAGCCTAGAGTACCCTCTAGTGGCTGTCAGTGTGAAAATAACAAACATGTAAAGTTTCAGTGGTACAGGAGTAGCAGATACTGGTACATAAGCCTAGAGTGCCCTCTGGCGACTGTGGTGTGAAAATATGTATATTTCAATATAAAAGTTTCACCTGAATATATGTTGCAAACCCAGCAAAAGGATAAAAAAAGTGCGACTTATACTCTGAAAAACACTTTATGTCTCTATTAAATTTATTAATTAACTTTTGACACTCTGTTTTCACTCTAGATTTACACATTTATCAAGACAATCCTTGCCATGGTTGGGAAGTTTGGAATCACAGCCCCTTTTTCCATTATTTACGTTTACTCAGCTGAGGTTTTTCCCACTGTCGTTAGGTAGGTTAACCTTAAGTCTAGAGTGCCCTGTAGCAGCTGTCAGTGATTAGGTAGGTTAACCTTTACCAGAATCTCTCTGTTTCTACTCTAGCTATACTTCTCATACATAATCTTTTTCGTGGTCATAATACATAAGTCTATTTTTCCCTTCGTTCTTCACTTTGTAGACAAAATGGAATTGGCATGGCCTCTATGTGTGCTAGAATCGGAGGCGTCCTGGCACCTCTGATGTTCTTTCTAAGGCACATCAGCCTTGAGGCTCCCATGGTGGTCTGTGGAATATGCCCATTACTGGGCGCTGCCCTTACAGTGCTGCTACCCGAGACAGCCAATAGGCCACTACTTGACACTATCGAAGAAGTAGAGGGAAGCGACGTCAGGTCTTGAACGCTCATCCCTTTCGATTTGTACACCAATGTTACAGTTTAACATTAAGTGTCTTGTTTCATATTTCAGCAAATTGACTGACTCTTTCTGGATCAAATGAAACAACAAAGGGATGGACTGACAAACACAAGCTGCATAACCACTGTGAATGTTGTTACGTTCTACAAGTCAGTAGTCTTCAAGTTACACCTGTGGATTCATTGTTGAAGTGCGAGATACCTTCGTGTTCCTGAATGGCATGAGGACGGCTTTTCGGAAAGAATGAATACATTCTCAGTGACAAGGTGGCCGACCCCATGTTTTGATTTGTTGACGATCCCTATGAGCACTACTTTGTCTGGCTTTTCCCCAGACATTGCTTTGTTCAATAATTAATTTATGGTTCATTGTATGAACGTGCGCATTTCTAATGTTTAGATTGGATGGTCTAACATAGCTTTAATATGTATATATGTGTTAAACCTGTGTAACTTATAACTATATAAGTCTATATCAAAAATTAGGGAACTAGAGTAACTCTTTTTAGCAACTATTTTTACTGTTAAGTAAAATGAATATGGCATGTATAATATTTTGTCTTTTTTAATGGTTGATTGTGAGTTAAAACTGGGTTGCTGTGCTATATTTGGTGGGTCAAGAGACCAAGCTAACTTGTACTGTAATTCAACCCATAGTTGTTTTCTAATGGGTATTGGCAGAAATAAAAAATATTTTTTCACATTTTTAGATACCAGTGATAAAGTTTCCTATATACATTTTAGGCCATATATGTAATTTCTAGCATGAATGCGACGCTTTGTCGGACCTCCTCGAGCTTTTATTTTGTTACTTCCGGTTACCGGTAGTGTAAATCTGCATATTAGCTTGAATGTTTAGTTTTACCCGAAATATTTAGATTTAACATTAAAATTCAGATTTATTATTTAGATATACGATTTAACATTTAGATTTAACTATTTTATATATTCCCAAGTTAACAAATATTGTTGTAAATGTGCTGAAAAGTGACTTTTAAAAAGTCACATTCAGCACATTCTCAAATATTGCTTGACGCTAAATGTAACAAAATGCTGCTATAATTTTCAGTATAAACCGCTTTACAAACGGCGTCCCATAGACCTATTTCGTGTTTTTATTATTCACATTATTTTGACAATAACAATAATTGCTCATTGGCTCAGAATACACGTACAGGAAAATTAAGTTTTTTTTTTTAAATAAAAGCTTTTATTTTCATGTTTATGTCAAATGAGGGCAACGAAAACCTTTTCTATACATTTTTACTTGTTCGGTGCTTTCACATCTCGGTTTTGGTCGGAACATTTCCGAAGGCACGTGAAGGCAGCAGCAGTTGTATGCCATCACTTGCTGCAGCCGAGGCTACGGCACAGCAGCAGCAGAATTGAACATCATCATCATCAGCTACTGTGCTCAACATACACATCGCTTGCCTTTTTGTTCATTTGTAGTGCAATGGAACGCTGCTCTTCGGATAATTGACCGCCTCTAAACTGGTGAGAGACGTCGTTATCATGTGTTTCCTCTTTGTTGTATGTCGCTACCAAACACTGAAATGAATATATTTATTTTCTTTCGTGCCTTACGGCCGTCATTGTTTTTACGTTTTGTTTTGTTTTTTTGACGTAACCGCCTGTTAGCTAGTTAGCATTCCTTAGTGTTCTTAAATATGTCGCAATTCGAACGAGGCTTTGTAAAATTAAAGGTCACATTTCAGAAATATATTTTGGGTGTGGGTTCGTGTGTGTTTGTGTTTTTTTTAAAAATAATTATTTTGTAATTATCACCATGTCCTCTTTTACATGTATTATTTTTGCTGGGCTTCTTCCTTTTTCTTCTCATGTCAAATGTATTTACTATCTCTGTGAATTGTGTCTAAATCATCTCGCTGACCTTGTCTCGCAGACTCCATCTCCAAGCAGTTTAACCTTAAATGTTACTCAGAGGTGCTCTTTTCATATCCTGTTCATCGAGGAAACTCAAAAAGAAAAACTCTAGGTCAGGGGTGTCAAACTCATATTCACAGGGGGCAGTGGGCTAAAATTAAAAATTTCGGGCCGAACTCAATATTTACTGAAAAATTGACTGGAATTGTGCATGTTTTCCATTCTCTTCAGATATGTTGAATATGTTGAATTTTTTTTCATATGGAAAAAAAAATGAAGTTTTACGTAAACATTGAATCTAGAACAACGAAAGCTTAATGATATAAACACACAAGAAATTAAATTTGAAACAAAACACACATCAGTGGTATTTGTTTGTTATTATGTCTCTGACTGTCTCTAGCCTTTTTATTGTAAATCTTTTCTCAGGCCAACAGCAAAACAACCAACCAAAAATGTATGTTCTCTATGGTCTTTAACTCTACATCCTCTACTCGAGTCTTAAGGACAGTCTTGCTTTTTCAATCTTATCAATTTTCTAACTGTTCATTATTTTTATTACAATCCCAGGTACTTGAACTCTTCCACCTTGACCAGCTTTACTATTTGCCATATCACCTTTAGACCTGTCTCACTCCAGGTCTAAACAGCCTTAAGCACCCTCCTATCTTCCTGGCCTTCTTTCTGTCCTGTCTCCCGAACATTGAAAACATCCATCTTCCTTCCTCGCCATCATGTCTACCATCTCCGTGCCTTTGCCATTCATTATCTTACATTTAATGTCCCTACTCTGACCTCTAAACTCCTCCATGTCCTCTCATCATTCACTGCCTCCTAAAAACGTTCCCCCTTTTTTTCGATTTTTGTCTTTGACAAGTGGTTTGCAAACACTTTTGGCCGTGCAACCCCCTTTCCTATATCCCAACCGGTTTGACGCATCACCAATTTTCCACATCTTTGAAGAAAAAAAAAAAGCCTGTTGAAATGACTAGAACACACCCACATATATTTTGTTATTTACACATATTTATCGTTTGGGAAAAAAAAAAACGCTTAACTCTAAACCGCCATCTACATTTTTAACTCGCGTGTGTGTCAAACTTACGCACGCCAAATTTGGCCCACAAGATCATATCAAATGAGTATTACAGTCGGCCTGCTTGTATATAGCCACTATACACTGCCAGGTTTGTAGTATTAGCAGTGTACGCGCTATATAATAGTGCATACATTTTTGGTTGTTTAGTTGTTGGCCTGTGTAAAGATTTACATTAAAAAGGTAATCCTACATATTTTACCTTATTTCAAATTTATTTTCCCATGTGTGTGGAAATTAGTAATGTGTGTGTCACATTACTAATTTGTTCCGTAGCATTTATTTTTAGTTATGCAAATGAGGCAGTATATACCTTTTGGTACGGGAAGACAATTGTTAATGACACCTCTGCATGTTTTGTTTCATAGTGATCTTCCTCATTCATAATAAATGGATATAAATAGATTTGCTAAACATAAATAGAGTAAAATATATATATGTGTGTGTGTTTTATTGGACTTTTTTTGCTTTCATAAATCATTCATGGTGGAAAGAATTTGTCTTTTTTCACACGAAAATTGATGGAAAAAAACTCTTTAATGTCAATGGCAAACAATTACTTTTCTTTATGTATTTTTATTTCATTAACATTACTTTGTAGAACTCTGTTTTCACTTTGACATGAAAGAGTTTGACAGCCATGCACCCAGTCGCACAGATGCCAAAAGCCTCAGCTAAATAAGACGAAAAACAAATCTGTATCTATGCTTTTCACAATTTTTACAGCATCCAGGCCATTATCTCCGTATGTTCACATTGACCCCAGTTGTATAATAATCAGAGCTTGTTGCAATGATATTTTAGCAAGATAAGCAGACACACATATTTGGAGTGTTACACCACATCCTGTTGGTATTTAATGTAGAGGTTGTTCTTAGCTAGTAGCAGTGTGGTGTTGCACTCGCTTTGCAAACCTGCAGGCTGACAGTACACCCACAAGTACCAAAAGCACCGTTTGTTCACTTTATTTTACTTTCCATGTTTTGTCATGTAGATCCATTAATCATCATCAAACTCTGTCTATATTTCCCTGCCTGAACCCCTATTTTCATTAACTGACATCATCATCAAACTCTGTCTATATTTATTTATTAGTGCCTGAACCCCTATTTTCATTAACTGAAAAATAACAATCCAACAATGTCAGATTGTGATGACAGAATTAGTTCTTTTCTCCTGCTACCTCCGGCAACAGCAACTATCTTTGTAGCAGCAGCAACAGCAGCAGAGACTGTTTAGACAGTACGCCTGTTCAACCAATAGTCACTCTTTGTGTACGTTGTGTAGTGTCTAACACTTAGTATAAGAACATCCGAAGTGGTGCTTTCCAAGCTACTCTTGTTTCAGTTTTTCTTACTGTATATAAAAGGAGTTACATTAAGTACAACTATTGTTTCAGTGTAGCTTGATACCATGGAAGCATTTTAACTTACTTACAAACTTCAACCTCAGATTATGTAATTACCAGAAGGTGGAAAAGTACAAAAAATGTAATTAGGTAAAAGTATCTTTACTTGAATTATACTCAAGTAAAAGTAAAAGTTACTTATATACTTCAGATTGCTTGGGACAAGAATGGACAAGTCATGCATCCAGTCTGTAACTTGGTGTTGTTAATCAACAATTCAAATACAAATGGCAGTAGTTGAGAATTCTACGAGTCCATTTGACACATATACATTTGAAAACAGAGAACTGGCTGAGATATCGCCAAGGATTTCCTTCGCTTTCTAAAGCTTCCACGGCAGCACTTGCTTGACAATCCTCCACCTCCATTTTTTGTTCCACACCAGCCATCATCCAATGACAGGCTAGAGCAGGGGTCACCAACGTGGTGCCCTGGGGCACCTGGTAGCTCCCATGGACTACCTAAGGCGCCCGCAGGCGTTGGGCTAGAGATCAAAATGGTCAATGTTACTGTTACTGTGCTTTTTGAATCAGTTCCACTTGCAGTGACATTCAAATGGGTGCAATGATGATGGTAGGAAGACTGTCTACTATTGTATGTCCCAGAACTTATTATTATTACATTGTTCAAGAAGTCTGTGTCAAACAAGTAGCTCTTGGTATTGCTAAGTGCCCTTGAAGTAGCCCTCAGTTTCAAAAAGGTTGGTGACCTCCTGGGCTAGACCCTGTCTCTTAGTCATTGTTTACTGGCTATATTAAAATACTGAGAAATCTGCTTGCGCACGCCCACAGAATTTTCCTACAGTTATATATATAAAAGTAAAATACTTGGGTCGAGATGTACCTGTAAAAGAAATGACCCTTTTCCCAAAACTAATTAAAAAATTACTAATTACTCACAAAATGCACTCAATTACAGTAACATGAGTAAATGTAATATGTTACTTTCCACCTCTGGTAATTACTGTGATAGCAAGTAGTGATAGCATTTAGTTCTTGCTTTTAAGCAAAAGTCAACCAGCATTTCCGAGTGGGTCCTGCAGTTGTGGGAGGTAGGCTAAAAGTGCGAGAAAACCTAGTGAACATATGTGAGTTTCATCAACCATTCTCCAGGCACTGACTGGAAAGTATCTACAAATAAGATGTCGTGACCAACCAAGCATCAGCAAGATTTTTTGCTGAAGCCGAAAAACACATCTGTCTTGTGATCTTTGCATGGACTTTTGTTTAATGGTTTGAAATTTTTGGTGAGAAATTGCTTTATCACACTGTATACATCAAGTGTCAAACTCAAGGCACAGGGGCAAAATGCAGCCCGTCAATTTTGTGTGGCCTTGTAAGTATTTAATGAAGTCCATGCAGCAGAGTTGTTATTTAATAAAGTCCATGCAGTAGAGTTGCTTAACCTGATTTTTTTTTTTTCCTACACAACAATGATCAATATTTGTAACTTTTTTTTTTTTACTACACAACAATGATCAATATTTGTAACTTAAATAATAATCAATTGCATAAACATGTATTAATACATTATGGAGTAGTTTCATCTATACAGTCTTCCATTTACAACAGGCCCTTCAAGGGGAACTGTATTGCTGATGTCGCCCCCTGGTGAATATGAGTTTGACACCCCTGGTATACACTATACCTCACTTGCATTCACAGCTGTTATCCTGGTTATAATGTACAAAAACATTACACATATACAAGATTATATCCAAGATGTATATTGGCCTAGTTTTTTTGTAGTTAGCTTCACACAAAATTAAAAACATATTAAAGGATTGTATACCATTATATATACAAGAGAAATTCTATATAGACGTATTGATATATTAATTGAGTGTAAACTGTAAATTTACAAATAACAAACAGGTGTTTCTCTTCTGGTTGCATGAAGGACACAACTTTAGTAATTATGAATGTTCAGATTGTGCAAAAATCGTTTGAAACTTCAGCTTCAGACGATTTGTTCTGTGCAAAACCATTTGAGCTTGTTTTTAAGAGAAGTGAACGAATAACAGAAATTCCATAGTAGCTATATTTTCAACCCAATGTAACCAAAAGTGCATGGCAATTATATGCCGATTGATAGCATGATTTTCTGCAATTTATCACAAATAATTATAATTACACGCATAATTTGTTTTGCAATGCCAACAAATCGGGTCAGTCATGACAGTAGCTATTACATGAATATTGTTTTGTAAATCTAAACTGAAGTATTAATTTAATCAAACCAACTGTAAAAGCTACTCATCTGATCTGATAGTGTATATTTTCCTGTCAACAAATGTATCTGCTACCCACATTTATAGTCTATCAACTGTTAACAGCCGTGGCTGTAATTAATTTATTTCCCCACTAGATGGCGATGGTAAACGATATCGAGCCATACAAACCACGCAGTTTGCGGGTACTGCTCAAAATGCCCTCTGTAAAACGTGGGGCTGTATAATCAGGGTGTCCTCTGCATATAGGGATGAATAAAAGAAAGTTATAATGAATGAATAGTACAACGCTGTGCCACTTTACAATGAATGAGACGCACTGTGTGGTGCTGGAAGAATTGTCTCTGCCTCCAAACAGAGGGCTGATTACAGAAAAAAAAAAGTGATGTCTGTGGAGAGAACATGGTGAAGTGGTAGCCTTTAGCAACGTGATTAGCTCAGGCCTCTGCGTGTGCTTATCTCAACCCTTCTAACGGTTTGTATTTGGTTCTGTTCTTGGCCTTTCACAGAGTCTATATAATGGGCTGTGTACAATGCAAGGATAAAGAGGAGACCAAACATACAGCTGACGGAAATATTGGCGTCTCCCAGGAACTGGGCTATCAGTATGGGGCCAACCCTGCAACACAGCAGTACCTTAACTTTGGGGTCACCGCAGTACCCAACTACAACAACTTTAGCACCCCTGTTGGGCAGGGGTTGGCGGTTTTTGGAGGGGTCAGCACTTCCTCACACACTGGAACTCTGAGGACCCGCGGTGGGACAGGTGAAGTGATGGACATAGGTTGTTGGGAACAGTCTATGGTCATGTGTACACTGCTGTCTATCTATCCGTCCATCTAGCTAGCTAGCTAGCTATCTCTATCTGTCTCTCTATCTATATATCTATCTCTCTATCTATCTTTCTCTCTCTCTCTCTCTATCTATCTTTCTCTCTCTCTCTCTCACTCTCTATCTATCTATCCATCTATCTCTATTCATCTAGATAGCTAGCTATCTCTAGCTGTCTCTCTATCTATCTTTCTCTCTCTCTCTCTATATCTCTCTCTCTCTCTATATCTCTCTCTCTCTCTTTCTCTCTCTCTCTCTATCTCTCTATCTAGCTATCTAGCTCCCTCTCTCTCTCTCTCTTTCTCTCTCTATCTATCTTTCTCTCTCTCTCTCTTTCTCTCTCTCTCTCTATATCTCTCTCTCTCTCTCTATCTATCTTTCTCTCTCTCTCTCTATCTATCTCTCTATCTGTCTATCTATCTATCTATCTATATCTCTCTCGCTCTCTCTCTCTCTCACTCTCTATCTATCTATCCATCTATCTCTATTCATCTAGATAGCTAGCTATCTCTATCTATCTCTCTATCTATCTCTGTATCCATTGATATAACACATAAAACAAATTATTTTATGTTTTTGGCAGGCCCAGTCTGTGGTTCTGAATTCTCAGGTTCTATTTTTAAATTTCAGTTCTGTTTTATTGCCCTTACAGGAGTCACCCTTTTCGTGGCTCTTTATGATTACGAGGCGCGGACAGAAGATGACCTCAGCTTCGGGAAAGGAGAAAAGTTCCAGATTATCAACAGCACGTAAGTACTGGACCTGCAGTTGGCTCAGGAGGAAGGCTACTTATAATCATCACACGGTGATCATTTCCCTGAAAAATATAATTTCCTGTTTTTTTTCTTTTTTTTAAAAAACCTGGAAAAAATATATATGTATATTTATGTATAAATATATATACATATATATTTGCCATAACTGCCAACTGCCATAGCAATCCAAAGATGTCTCAGTGGGTTTTTTTGTAACTTGGGAAAAATCCTCAGATTCGTATTCACACTCTCTTTAAAAAGTGCAATACTGCCATCTACCTTCTGCCAGTCAGCAGTGCAGTCTACAGGGGAAAAAAGGCTGGGATTTGGGTTTGAACACTAAAATAATTTTTAAAATTATTTCATCGCTAATGGGGAAAACGTGGAATGTAGTACAGTAGTTTTGGGACATTTAAGGATCCCAAGAAATGCATTTGGAACTAAAGACATTTTAGAAAGAACTCGGAGATTTGTCCTTTTTGTACTTTAAAGGGAACTGATTTTCATGCAGGCATTCAGTAGTCTGTTAAATTCGATTTCATCAAGCAAGGTTTTTTTTCCTCTGTCCTCTAGAGAAGGCGACTGGTGGGACGCTCGCTCTCTCACCACTGGTTGTAGCGGCTACACTGTTTTTCATGCAGGCATTCAATAGTCTATTAAATGTGATTTTATCTAAGCAAGGTTTTTTTTTTCCCTCTCTCTCCTAGTGAAGGCGACTGGTGGGACGCTCGCTCTCTCACCACTGGTTGTAGCGGCTACATTCCCAGTAATTATGTGGCTCCAGTGGACTCCATCCAGGCTGAGGAGTAAGTTGTGCAGAGGTCAAAAACCGAACAGGACATGTATATCTTGGTACATGTATAGTCTGATTAAACATTTCGTTCTTTTCCATGTCTGCAGCTGGTACTTTGGTAAACTGGGTCGCAAAGACGCTGAGAGACAGCTGCTGTCCACAGGCAACAAGAGAGGAACGTATCTGATCAGAGAGAGTGAAACAACTAAGGGTAAATCCATAAACACTAACGACCAGGGGTGTGTGTGGGGGTGTGTGTTTTAACGTGATCCATAAAGAAGAAGAAGAAGAAGAAAAAAATACCGGGACACACTTGCCTAATGTTTGACTGTAAGAATCCATAAGGATTTACCGGCAAACATATAAACTGTAATAAAGCACTTGCAGCCAAATGACATTAAACCATGTCATTTATTGGCACGATGAACAGTTAACCATCACGTCCTGTCTTTTAGGAATCTGAATCATTTCGCTTTTATCCAAAGCGACGTACAATTTGAGTCAGTCAATCAGCAATCAAGCTACTGTAAACATAGTACAGTTATAGTCATAGTAGGTCGGAGTAAGAACAAAAAAAAAAGAAAAAAAATAAACCTTTGTGTGAAACATCTCTGCTTTGCTGTAAAAAAAAAGAAAGTAGATTAACAACTATGCTGAGCAGACGATAGAACCAGTATATCACCGAAACTGCGGAACTATCGACACTGAGTACTTTTTGGCTTCTGTCTCCCTGACACGTGAAAAAAATGTGTTAAAATTTGATATTACAGTAAACCCTTGTTTTTCGCGATGAAAAAAAATAGTGTTAAAATTTGATATATATATTTTTTTTAATCTTTTGCTGTTTATGTTTACTGTTTATGACACATCATACGGCTGTTTGTCCTCCAGGTGCATTCTCCTTGTCCGTACGAGACTGGGACGATATCAAGGGCGACCATGTCAAACATTACAAGATCCGCAAGCTGGACAGCGGCGGCTATTACATCAGCACAAGGGCTCAGTTTGAGACCTTGCAGCAGCTTGTTCAGCACTATTCAGGTACGTTATCCAAGCGATACATACAGCAACGGTGTAAAGCAGTGCTTCTCAAATAGTGGGGCGGGACCCTGGAGGATGGTTCGGGGAGGGGCTTCCAATGGAATATGGCATGTTGGATAAGTATAAGTGTACCACTGCTGTAATGCTTGAATGATAACAAGCCTCCAGCCACAAGGTGGCAGCAACTCATACAATGGGTTGTATAAAAATAAGACATATTATCAGGTTCTCAGTAGGATTTCAATTCTCGAGGGTGTGGGTCGGGGGTGGTGTTGTTGTCTCTTAAACAATTATGAATTAATTTAGAAAAATTTTTACCCATGGCAACATTTTACTTGCCCACTTCCTGCAGACCTCACAACCCCGAGGAGCAGGGTTGCAGCAGGCTGTTTTAATGGTAACAGAAGTGAGGAACAGTAAGTCCTACCCGAGACTGCCATCTAATGGCGAGACTATGTAACTGCAATCTTAAATTTTTCCACAGATTGTTGTAACAGTAGAGTATAAATATTGCAGTGTGCAGCTCTGTCAATGTATTCACTCTCTGTTGATAACATACTTTAATGATGAAAGTATGAAATCATCAGCATATTTTTTTTTATTTTTCTCTACTACATTTTTCTCTACTTTCCCAGTACAGTTGGGCTTACATTCGCGTTGTCTTCTTTGAGCTGTGTCTTCCTTTTCCTGTTTTACTTGACATGCGTTCTGCTTCTACTTGTCCGCTCCTGTGAAGCAGTCTAACCCCGTCTCCCCGCCAGCCAAGGTGGTATTCAAACCTTGGTCCCCTGAGTACAAGCTCAATCCTCTACCACCATCAGGACACGGGCTTCCCTGAGGTTGGAGGAAATACAACAGTGTTTTTCCTGAATGTTGGAACCATCGGAACAACTCATGGTGCATTAAATCCCACTGTTATATTTCCAACCTTCCTCCCTTTTGTTTGTTTTAAAAAAAATCTTCTTAAACACTTGCAAAACACTAATACTGTGTTGTACGCTGTATTCTTCTTTATAGTCAGTAGGGGGCTCAGTTTCTCTAGCAAAAATGTAGAATTCTGAACAACATTGCTAAAGCTTATATGTATGTATATACAGTATGTATATATGTATATATATATTTATGTATACATATATAAATATATACATATATACATATATAGTTTTACTATAAATAGGAGATACAGTTAGAAATGAGGGATTTTAACTGGAGAACACCATTTTTAGAACCACTGTTGTTCTACATCAGGGCGTGTCAAACTCATTTTCACTGAGAGCCACATCAGCAATACTGTTCCCCTTGAAGGAAGACTGTATAGATAGATACAAAAATGTATTTAATTTTTACTAATTTACTTCATTCAAAGAAAGTCCAGTCATATCCATTTACTTTCTTTATTTAAAGATAATCTGACAATATTTTAAAATAACAGCTCATTCAAGTGGCACATTGGCCCAGAGGCAATGTTTGTCTCTGTCATTGGTGTGGAACCCCAGGGTTCACATTCTGTGCAAGTTTGAATCCCGGTTAGGGAGGTTGGTACATTCCAGTGGACTCACCACCTGCAGGAAGGGTTAGGGACGGTGCAA